CTTAAGTATTTTTTTTTTTTTTTACTAAAAATACTTTTGACTTTTCTAAGAGTAAAGAGAGAAAAGAAAAGAAACCGATTGGAGGTGAAAGATGAGAGGAGAGACAGATGGACTGGTAAAGCAGAAGCAGACAGGACTTTATGAATTCGATTATGTTTGTGGCTCTCTGTGTCTCTGCTGCCGCCGCTGGTGAAGCAGATGAACTGCAGTGTGTCACAGTCTGAATGAGTCTCAGTCAGGGGTCGATGTGACTGATCTGCACTGACTGCAGCATGAGCTCCAGATCATCAGAGCTCACTGTCCTGCCTGTTATCAAGCAGCATGTTTATCTGCTGATCCTGAACACTAGTGAAGTTTGTCTTGTTTTTCTTATCACAAGTTTTGATTGCTTCAGAGTGATTTTCATAAAAAAAATATATATATATATTGTTAGATTTTAAAATGCTTAACATAACATTAATGTACATTTGGATGTCATGTAATAATTGTCATAAAAATCATTGTGAATAATCATAAAAATATATTATAAAATTTGTATTCTCCATTTGAAATGGCAATTCACATTATTTTTCACATTACAAACAACTTCCTTTTTCTCTTTGCCCTGCCCACAGCTCCCCTCCCTCCCCCCACTGGGCTGGTTGCCATGGAGAGCTCATCGGTAGCGTCAGCGTCATCAGAGGCGGGAAGCACACGCTCGCAGGAGATCGAGGAGCTGGAGCACTTCATCGACAGCTACGTGCTGGAGTACCAGGTGCAGGGACTCCTGAGCGACAAAAACGAAACCGAACAGGATGTGGACAAGACCCCGTCCCACATCTCACAGGTAAAACACACCCCGTCCCACACCTCACAGGTAAAACACACCCTGTCCCGAACCTCACAGGCAAAACAGACCCCATCCCACACCTCACAAGTAAAACACACCCCGTCCCACACCTCATAGGTCGAACACACCCTGTCCCACACCAAACACAACCCATCCTGCACCTTACACCCTGTCCCACACCTCACAGGAAAAACACACCCTGTCCCGAACCTCACAGGAAAAACACACCCTGTCCCGAACCTCACAGGTATAACGCACCCCGTCCCACACCTCACAGGTCAAACACACCCCGTCCCACACCTCACAGGTATAACAGACCTCGTCCCACACCTCACGCCTCATCCCGTACCTCACAGGAAAAACACACCCTGTCCCGCACCTCATACCCCATCCTACACCTCGCAGGTAAAACAGACCCTACATACAGGCACCTCCCGTCCCTCACCTTACAGGTAAAACACACCCCGTCCTGCACTTCAAAAGCTGAGTTGAGGATGATGTACTGTAATTCTGTTTTTCCTGAGTAATAATGATATACAAATAAATTTAATTTGACACTAATGGTATCTCTGGGCAGTCGTGGCCTAATGGTTAGAGAGTTGTAACCCGAAGGTTGTGGGTTCGAGTCTCGGGTCCGGCAGGAATTGTCGGGGGGGGGAGTGAATAACCAGTGCTCTCTTCCACCCTCAATACCACGACTTGAGGTGAGACCCTTGAGCAAGGCACCGAAGCCCCAACTGCTCCCCGGGCTCCGCAGCAATATGGCTGCCCACTGCTCCGGGTGTGTGTTCACGGTGTGTGTGTGTTCATTACTGTGTGTGTGCACTTGGATGGGTTAAATGCAGAGCTCAAATTCTGAGTATGGGTCACCATACTTAGCCACACGTCACTTCACTTCATCTCTCTCTGTCTCTCAGTGGACAGAAGACTGCAGTGATAAGATTGACGGGAGCTGGTCATCCTCACGGGGCAGAGGCTCATCCAAACCAGTGAGTTTTGCATGTGTGTCTGATCCGTAACTCTTGTGTAACACCCTGTTCACACCCGACACAAGTGGCTCGTCAAAAGTAATTTGTCTTTTTATAACTGATGAAGCTGTGAAAGCATCTGTTGCAGTCGCCTCTGGTGCAGAGACAGTGTTAGTGTTGAAGATGTGTAGAAATGTTTGAAAATTATTCTAGGTGTTCAGAAACAGATGTGTTTGTCATCAGAAAACAAAGTCACCATGAAATCAAAATTGAAAATTCTTATTTTTTAATGGAATACTGTAGTGTTTATTATAAATAATTTATCCGTGCACTTCATTATTTTTTTATTTATTTATGTGCCCTCGTAATCTTTAATCAAAAACGTTAACCTCCCCTCCCCCTCAAAACGACTCCTCTTCTCTTCCGGTCACGAGTTATGGCGCAAGGGCGGAGCTAGTGACGTGAGGGGTAAACGCTGGGATAAACAACAGGGGAAAAAGCTGAAGCTGATGCTTCACTTTATAGAAATCAATGCATTGACCAGTGCTAACGCAAGCCATGGGGGAGTACCCTACCCTTAAAATTGAAAGGATATTAGGATATTACCACAACATTACTCTTAGGACATCGCAAACTATTTTTTTATGAATATGACTTAACCTGATGGAGGACGCGCTCAGTCATTCAGGCAGTCTCTCTCGAGCGAGCGAGTGTGCGCGCTGTTAGGTATGTTTTGTGCCGTTGATCGTCCTCGTCTTCCTCAATGAATAAAAAATTTCTTCATGCTAAGGTGTCGGCGGTGAATCCAGTGGGGAGAAATCCCCCACCACTAACTGCAAACTGGCATTCAGATCTGCCTCCATTTTGTTAGCAACGCCCCAACTTCCAACGATCCAATCAATTCCCAAAGGACGAAATCAAGTCCTGCCCTCTCATTTCAGATGCCGTTTCACTCGGATATACGTCACAGTAGAGAAAAAAAGACAATCGCTACTTACGTTTCATGCCGACTTTAATGGATGGACACAGAAAACAACAGAAACATCAAACTAGCGCTGGGTCCCAGTTCACATACTGTCTGTCCTGAATAGTGTGCGAGATTGGGCTTAGAGCATCCCAAATCATAGCTGTAAATAGTACATCACAGGTGCCTGGATGGCGTGCTGTTTGTCAAAGTGGAGCTAGATGCTAATGTTAAAATGAAAACACAAAGTGCACTGTATGCAAGTATTTCTAGCTCTGCTAGTTTGATCGCCTGTGCCATATCATTCAGAAATGTGTCGGACCGCAATCTGTAACACAATGCAAGTGCGCACTTCATATTTGTTGCCATAAGGGGCACTATTGAGTAAAACATTTTGAAAAAATTGTTTCATTTGAAATCTTTTTATTTATTATTTCGGTAAATTCTTATTTCAATTTTCAGTTGCATTTCCCTTTCCAAAAGCTTTGTGCGCAAACGTTTGCAAGCGAGTTTCTCGAGAGCGCAAAAATTTGGTGAGCATATGCAAAAGCAAAAAAATTATAATTTTCTTCCCATGCCATATTTTTTCTCATTAGAGTCTTTCTGGTCAGTTTTCTTTTTTATCTCAAGTACTGTCGACAGTTTGATGAGAGTTTTGTTCAGCAAGAGCTGATCTGCTGCAGTTCTTTCGTTTTTTTGTAACTGATTTCTGTGCACTTATGCACATTTTTAATATAGTGCTTTATACAATACTATGGAAGCTTGTTTCGACCACAGGATAAAAATTAAAAACAATAAAAATTTAATAATTGAATTTGAATAATTGAATCAAATTATTATCTCACAATTCTAACATTTTTTCTTGCAATTCTGAGAAAAGGATTGTAATATATAAACTCAAAATTATGAGATATATCTTAAGATAAGTTTATATCTCACAATTCTGAGATGAAAAGAGAAGTAAAAAGTTTTGAATTGTGAGAGAAAATTTGCAGTTACCTTTTTTAATTTTGTTTCTTCGACAGAAACAAAAAAAAACTGAATTGCGAGATATAAACTCTGTAAACTCGAGATATAAAAATTCTGATGAAAAATGTCAGAATTGCGAGATGCAAACTTGTGATGCAAACTCGAGTTTATAACTTGCGACTGTGAGATATTAAATAAAAATTATGAGAAAAAGTCTGGATTAGCACATATAAACTTGCAATTGCAAGATAAAACACTCATCATTATGAGATTAAAAGTCGCAATACTTTGCTGTAAAGCAACTCTAAAAAGACAATAGTGTCATTATTCA